ATCTACTCTTTAACCTTAAATACAAGGCAAGTAGATACTGGGGCGTGATATCAAAGAGGGACGTACAACGATATCAAAAGGCGTGGTTTTAGAAATCAAACACGCTCTTAATGAGGGAAGAGTACCATTTTTCTATATATAAAAATTGATGGGCATAGTTTGCATAAAGTTGCAACCTTAAACAATCTAATTAATGCACTTCTCTAAATTTTTATCATAAATATAATTTTAATATAAAAATTTCTTAAGATGGCTTGAAAATCTGTTTTTATCTCTAATTATAAAATTTTAAATTCTAAAAATGTTTCAAATCAAGTACAAAAAAACAAATAAACTGTATACAACTTAAATTGCGTTAAAGATCAATGGAGGAAGCTATAGCAAATAAAGAAGGCCAAAATTTGGAAGATAGAAAAGGACAAATTTTGTAAAGTCTTTTATCCTTGGAAAAGGTTTAAATAAGGTTAACACCTTAAAATATTGACCTCTAAAATCATTAAAAAAAGCGATTGTTTTGATGTTAAAAAAACATCTAATCAATTATCGCGACATCGAGACGTATAGCTATGAAGAAAAAAAGAGGTTTCAAGTCTTAAAAATAGCACATTTTGCAATACATTATCTAAACGGTCTAATTTCAAGATTTTCACGTGTTTATGGATGTGCCTGATTTGAAGTATTTTTAGAGTTTAAAATTTCATAATTAGAGATAAAAATATATTCTCGTACCATCTTAAAGATTGTCAACACCAAAATTACATCTCATGACAAAATTTGGAGATGCTCCTTACTTTGATGGTTTATAGTTGCAACCTTATGCAAACCACACCCATTTTTTAATATATTTACAAGAGTGTAAAGTATTCTTTATGTGAAAATCCCTTGTTGCATGGGAGGAAATTAAGTCAAAAGTCAAGCTGCATGTGATTGTGTGATGGCCTGGCAGGAAAATCTTATATTGGAAAAGTGTGGGAATGAGTACAATGTGCTTTGAAATTTGCTATTTTGACAATATACTATGATCTTTGTGATCATAGTGATAACCATGTGTTTTTATCACCGCCCAATGAACAAAGTCGGATGCTAGTGGAAGGAAAATGGGGCTATACAACTAATTGATGAAATACTTGATGGGACCTAATCTCCACTCTCCATGCCATAGATGGATGATGATAAGCCTTATGACAGTGGTGTTGTGATGACCACTTGGATCATATTGCGTGGGCCATTTGTTGTTCAACATTGATGATTCTCTCATAATTGTCAACCCATGGTGGGTAAAAGATTATGGATAAGTGGATAAAAGATTATGCCTATTTGGGTGAATAGGTGGTTATGATTTTAGAAGCACTAATTGCATTTTTCAAGTTTTTCTTAGTAGGTTCTAGTCATGCAGTCTCTCCCTATATTATTATATACAAGGTAATAAGAAATATTTATTTTTTGTAATCGCTTTACAAAATATCCAAATTCTTTGAAAACTACGTCCATACTAAAAACGTCCTTCACAATTCTAATAAAAACTGTGATGGTCCAACGCCCCATCACTCATGCCTCAAATTATTTTATAGACCTCTATAGTAATAATAGTACCATGATAGTTCAATGGTCTATTTTATAGACCATTGCAAGGACCATCACGGTATTTATATTACTGTATCGAGATATTATGGGAAATAATGCTGAACCATCACAATACTATTAGTATTGTGATGGTCCTGTGAACTTTAAATTACCATTAATGATCCTTTTAGGATATTGAACCATCTAGTACCATGATGGTCTTTGTGAGCACATTGTAAAATGCATTTTTGGCAACAAATTTATAGACAGTTAAAAAAGGGGTATGATTGTATATATTTTTTTTAAAAAAATACATATTTTTAAAATTTATTAGAAAAAAGAGATATTTATGATAATTACCGTATATAATATTTCGTGTTATATTCACAAGTCATATGGGCACCCTTGGCAGCATAAGATCTTAATCATTCGTTGAACCCCTCCTTTATCCAATATTCACTTTGAGGTATAGACTTTTTTTATCCATGTTCTATTTATCGCACATAATATTCCATGTAATATCCACACTAAACTATTAGTATCGTGATGATCCAATGAGCCTTAAATCATCATGGCACTAATAGTACCCTAATGACCTCTTTAGGATATTGAGCCATCATGGCACTATTAGTATCATGATGGTTAGGCAACAAAACATTACAGTTCTAATGGACGGTAAACGATATTTGTTTATAACAAAGTTATAGAAAGTTAAATAACATGTATGAATGTAGATTTCAAAAATTTATATATTTTTAAATTTATTAGAAAAAGGAGATAATGTTGATTTCAAAAATTTCTATATTTTTAAATTTATTCGAAAAAAGAGAAATTTATGATAATTACCCTATATAATATTCCGTGTTATATTCGCAAGTTATATGGGCATCCTTGGCAGCATAAGATCCGAATCATTCGTTGAAACTCCCTTTATCCCATGTTCAGTCTGAGTTGCATACTTTCTTTTTCTATTTTCTATCCATTGCACATAATATTCCATGTTATATCCTCATTTACTAGGAATCCTCACCCCTTATATATATCCAAACCATGATTCTTTTATGAAAAGCAACTCCTCTTTATCCCACATTCACTTTTGACATGATGCTGAACTGATTCAGGTTCTCAAAGTCCTTTCCAAAGGTTCTTTTCTTTGTCTCATACACACAATTGTTAGAGCTATTGGGGAAGTTGTGCTCCTTTTCTCATTCATTACATAATATCCAAGTAATATCCACATTCACTATGGGGAATGGGATATAATATCCAGATTGTGCACTCATTTATAAGAGCATCTCCTCTTCCCATTATATTCACCTTGGGGGGGATGCTTGACTATTTTCTTGAGCATTTTCTTTAATAATTTCACACACATGTAATGTACCTATTTAGTTTAGATGATAATTTGGATCATCACGATCATGAATTTATGAAAGGAAAAAGGATTTCAAGTTTGAAATTATTTAAAATTGTGTTTTTGGGCTATTTTTGCTTATTATTTTGAAGATTTTAGGTTTTCTAAGCTGTGAAATCATAGATCTAAAATATAAATCTCTATACACTGACTTAAAGAGATTGAGTGATTAAGACTTTTTGGCTAAGATAAATTTTTAGTAGGGGCATGCATTTGACTAGAACTTAATGTATGGTTTCTATAAAGTTGCAACTTTAAACAATCCAATTAAGGAACACCTCCAAATTTTATCATAATACGTAATTTTGGTATAAAAAAATCTTAAGGTTATCTAAAATTTTATTTTCATATCTAATTATAAAATTTTAAATTCTAGAAATGGTTAAAATCAAGTAGATTTATAAACACATGAAAATCCTGAAAATGGGCCGTCTAGATAATGTATTGCACGATGCATTATATTCATACATCTTGATGACGAGATGATCAATTAGAGGGTTTTTCAACATCAAAACAACCTTTTCCAATGGATTTTGAGGTGCATCTTTAATTCTATATTTTAAAGTTGCAAAACATTTTCCTTTTATGAATTCCCCGCCTTACTTGTACATATGCGTCCCACATTAGAGTCCATCTTACAAATGGATTTCGAATTTAAAATTTTAAAATATTCATGATCTAGGCATATTGATCTTGAATATATATATATAAAATAAGTTTAAATATCAAAAGTATTTTTTTAAAATTTTTTTGTACCATATATTTGCTTGTTTTTTGAAACGTGAGATGAGACTAATGATGATGATGATCATGATGAGTTCTTGTCATTCAACGACATGTGCATAATATCATATATGATTCAACCCCAAACAAAAACATGAAGCAAGAGTGAAAAATGAAAGAGAGAGAGGTGGGTGTGTCCATCACAATGAGTAGCCACAAAAACATGAAGCAAGAGTGAAAAATGAAAGAGAGAGAGGTGGGTGTGTCCATCACAATGAGTAGCCACAAGAATAAACCAACCCCCCCCCCCCCCCCCCCCATGACACAAGAGTCATAAGGTGGATGATGACACTTCCAAACAATAAATAAATGTTACAAAAATAAATGGAACCCAACACGTTCATTATCATCCCTTTGCGTCAGAACCCACCACCTCACTCACGCCCCATACAACTACATTACACACTACACGAACAAAAATAAAAGAAAAAGTTTTATATAGAGCCGAGGCTTTAAACAATCAAGTTAGAGCCTATATAAAAAATTTCACTACGAGAGCTTGTTTTGATGTTTAAATATCGTCAAATTGATCATCTCGACATCAAAATGTACATACATAAGAAAAAAATAGATTTCAAGTTTTGAAAAAAGTGCATTTTATAATGTATTTTTTGACCATTAATTTCAAGATTTTTAAATTTGCATTGATATGTTCGATCTGCACTATTTTTAAAAAAATTTAAATGTTATAAATAAAGATGAAAATAAATTTTAAGGTTATCACAATGATTTCTAGTATTAAAATCGCATTTAAGTGCATTTCACTTTGACTGTTTCGAGCCTCGGCTCTACACAAACTGCAACCCGGAAATGAAACCCTGTAAAGATTAAAATGATCACTAAAATATTCTTCATTCAATTCGAATGGATTTCGTACACTCTTTAATATTGCTATTTATTCTCTCTTTTTCTCTCTCTCACCACTCTAAGAAAAACTAGAGATAAAAAAAGGAAAAGTTTGAGACATTCCATTGAATATTACCATTCACTCTCTCTCCTAGTCCTACCTCATATCTTTCTCTCTCTAGATCTCTCTTTTCTCTCCTAGTCCTACCCCGTAGCTTTCTCTTTCTAGATCTCTCTTTCTCTCTCTAAACTGTAATCTTTCCTTATATGCCAGGGGGGAAGGTATAATTTATTGAATTAGTCCAACATCAGTATCATAACTGTAATCCTGTTACTAATGACTTCATTAAGGCCAGATATACATAATGGGAACTCTATAAATGCCTCACCAAACGCTTTGAAATACTTGCAGAAAGAAGAGTGAAACTCAAAAGCTGCTCTGTTTCTACCCCCCTATCTTCAAGTGCTTATTGGAGTTTGGTCCTTACACGGCAGTAGCTGGTATCAAAAAGCTAAAACCAAACACAAAAATCAAAACCCACCATACTCTTTCTCTCTCTAACTCTCGCATCCCTTCTTTCTCTCTCTAAAACGGTGTGGGCGCTCTTCATTTGCAGAGTAACAGAGCTGCTGCCATTGCCTCGAGAAACCCCATTGTCTCACAATTCAGATAATTTCGGAATCCCAATATGAGGTAAACAACAAAATATGAATTGGGTCAGTTTTTGCTTCTTATCTCCAAATCTCAGTCATTTTCATTTTAGAGAGAGAGCAGAAAAAACAACCCGAGATCTCGTTTTTATCCCTGTATTTAAGTCCTCTTGTTGTATATGCAATGTGTCTGTAAGAACCTCAAATTTATTTCCCCCACTAGGGCTTCCTGCCTCTTGTATCTCTTCACCATGCAGCTGTCACCATTTTCTTTCTCTCTCTAATGCATAACTTCTACCTCTTGATAACCCAACAACTGGTGGTATGTGCATCAGTGAATTAATTGCAGGGGCTTGCTTTTCCAGTTTTAAAACCACCCAAAGTCTCCATCTTTTTATTCTCCTGCAAACATGGGTTCTCTGCTCTCTCCTTCTCTATCTTTTGCCTCCACCATTTTTGTAGTTTTTCCAGGTCGAGCTGCGTTTCTCACTATCCTGAGAGAACTACCATTGGTAGAGAGGATTTCACTCTTGACCCATTTCATGATTCTCTCTCTAGTCTTTTTCTTTGTTTCGACGAGGCGAATCGTTTCCTGCATAGGGCGAGCTCCAATCTTCAAAGAAAGGCACGATGATTCAATTTCCACTCATAGAGCTGGCATCCCATGTGAAGCACTGATAGGTAATTCATTTTGGGTATCACTCTTTTGTTGCATTTACGTGTCGTTGATTCAAATTGCCACTCTTGTTTATGAGTTCTTGAGAGGGAAACACTCGACGTCCCTTTACTTACTTCCCTTGGTGCAAATTCTCTCATGGTCAGTTATGAGCCTCTGCATTTTGCATTCGAAATGCAAGGCCTCAGAGAGACACCCACTTTTTCTTCGCTTATGGTGGTTTGTTTCGTTTGCCATTTGCCTAGGCACCATATACTTTGATGGTAGGGGCTTAATCAATGGGTCACTGAACTTCAATGCCCATGTTGTTTCTAACTTTGCTTCTACACCTGCTATTGCTTTTTTGTGTTTTGTTGCACTTCATGGTGATACTAGTATTCGAGTAGTGATAGATTCCGACCTCCAAGAACCATTGCTTAGTGAAGAGTTGGGTTGCCAAAAGGTGACCCCTTATGGCGATGCCAATCTATTTAGCTTGGTCACCCTCTCTTGGTTAAACCCACTTTTATCTATTGGTGCAAAGAGGCCTCTAGAACTCAAGGATGTTCCCCTCTTAGCTCCTAAAGACCGGTCCAAAACCTCGTACAAGATATTGAACTCTAACTGGGAGAAGTTGAAGTCTGAGAATCCATCGAAACAACCGTCTTTAGCATTAGCTATTTTTAGGTCTTTTTGGAAGGAGGCAGCTTGGAATGCCATCTTTGCTGGCCTTAACACGCTCGTTACTTTTGTTGGTCCCTATCTTATAAGCTACTTTGTGGAGTATTTGGGAGGGAACATCACTTTCCCTCATGAAGGTTACATTCTAGCTTCAATATTCTTCACTGCAAAGCTTGTCGAGACCATAACCACTAGGCAATGGTATATGGGGGTTGATATCTTAGGAATGCATGTCAGGGGGGCCTTGACTGCCATGGTTTATCGAAAGGGGCTTCGTCTCTCTAGCACAGCCAGACAGAGCCACACTAGTGGAGAAATTGTCAATTATATGGCAGTCGATGTTCAAAGGATCGGTGATTATTCATGGTATCTTCATGATATGTGGATGTTACCTCTACAGATAGTCTTAGCACTGGCAATTCTCTATAAAAATGTGGGTATAGCCTCGCTTGCTACTCTTGGGGCCACAATTGTTTCTATTCTTGTTACGATTCCTCTTGCAAAAGTGCAAGAGGATTACCAAGATAAGTTGATGTCGGCCAAGGATGATAGGATGAGGAAAACATCTGAGTGCCTGAGGAACATGAGGATCTTGAAGTTGCAAGCATGGGAGGATCGGTATCGAGTGAAACTCGAAGAAATGAGAGAAGTGGAATTCAAATTTCTTAGGAAGGCTCTCTACTCTCAAGCTTTCATTACTTTCATCTTTTGGGGTTCTCCCATTTTTGTCTCAGTGGTCACTTTTGCCACCTGTATACTATTAGGTGGCCAGCTTACTGCAGGGGGTGTGTTATCTGCTTTGGCCACATTTAGAATACTTCAAGAGCCCCTAAGGAATTTCCCAGATTTGGTCTCTATGATGGCTCAGACAAAGGTGTCTCTGGACCGGATTTCAGGTTTTTTGCAAGAGGAGGAGTTGAGGGATGATGCTACAATCACAATTCCAAATGAGCTTACTAAAACTGCCATAGAAATCAAAGATGGCACCTTTTGTTGGGATCCTTCTTCTTCTAGGCCTACGCTCTCAGGAATTCACATGAAAGTGGAAAAAGGAATGCGGGTTGCAGTTTGTGGTATGGTTGGTGCTGGCAAATCGAGCTTCCTCTCTTGCATCCTCGGAGAGATGCCTAAAGTCTCGGGTGAGGTGAGTCTTCTCAAACCTACAAACTGCCCTTGATTTTCAAGCTTTCCTCTTTACGTAATGCAGCAAATTTGGCAATGGGTTTGTGTACCCTATGCAGAGGACTATCCATTGCCCATTGTTGGTGGTGAAGATGAGCCCTTGTCTCTGAAGGACAATGGTGGGCTTCAGGCAGAACAATGGTTTGTCTACACCATCGGTCACTGAGATCCATTGCGTAAAGTATGCTATACACAATGTAAACAGTTTGCTTTTCTTTCAACTATATCATATTTATTCTTTTCGGTATTTATTTATTGTTTTCATTTATTATAGAAATTTAAGATGGTTGTCTTTGTTCATGCAATGATTTACTAGTCATATTGCTCTATGTTTGTCCACTTACATGTTTTTCGGCATTTTCAGGTTAAAATTAGTGGGTCAGCTGCATATGTTTGTCAGTCAGCCTGGATTCAGTCTGGCAACATAGAGGAAAATATTCTCTTTGGTAGTCCAATGGACAAAGCAAAGTACAAGAATGTTCTTCATGCGTGTGCACTGAAGAAGGATCTGGAGTTGTTCTCTCATGGTGATCAAACAATAATAGGAGATAGAGGCATAAATCTAAGTGGAGGACAGAAGCAAAGGGTGCAACTTGCTAGGGCACTCTATCAAGATGGTGACATATACTTGCTTGATGATCCTTTTAGTGCAGTTGATGCGCATACAGGATCAGAATTGTTTAGAGTGAGTGTGCAGTCACCCTAATGATATTTCTTCTTCACAAGAGAAGAAAAAAAATGTTTTTTTCATTTCTTTCAGTAAATTATAGAGGTCTAGGTTTCAAGTCCTATCGCTCATGACTTAACATGTGTTACTGCAGGAGTACATATGCTCAGCCCTGGCTTCCAAGACTGTGATCTTTGTCACTCATCAAGTTGAATTTCTGCCAGCCGCAGATTTGATACTGGTATGTGACTTAATTCTTTTCTTACAAATTGTGATGTATGGACTTTATATTTCAAAAGATTCAGTTCCTCATGTCATCATTATAAACTGTATTGATTAGTAAGCCTTGCTCTTGGAATGCATATTCTGTCTCGTTATTTGTGATATGTGGCTTGGTGTCTTGGATTTGCAATTTGGATGTCATTCACGGTCTGGTCTTTTCGTTAAACTGTCCTTCTAGTCCTAGAAGTATTTCTTTCTGCACCTGCATGTTGGCATTAACATGATTAAGTTATCAATAATCAGAGTTGATAGATATTTAAATACTCGGCGAGGAAACTAGCTGCATTCAAGATAAATCAGAGGAGCATATGAAATATTTTGAAAGCTGTATTTGAGACCTACATTTATAAGATGTTGAGTTTGAGGGACAGTGTTAACCAGTGTTTAGAAATGCAATCTACTGATTCCAGTTCACCTGGTCCCGTAGGGTCATTCCTGACTTAGATCATTGTATGGACACAAAAGAAAAAATAAAAGGAAAATTGAAAAACTGGTGGAATTGGATGACTCCTGAGTTTTCTAGAACCTGATTGCCTACCCACCGGTTCTGGTTTGAACCAGGCGAGCCAGTAATTTTTTAAACACCGGTGTTAACAATAGAATCTCAATCTCATTTCTTGTGTTTGTGCTTTATGTCCCAAATTTTGCATGAGTGACTTGATAAAGAGTGTCAGGCCTATTATCCGTTTAATATAAGCCTGCAGAGATATAAGTGTGCTAGCTCTCAAGAGCTCTTCCATAAAAAAGTACCTCTTGACTTTTTACATTTTAAGAGTTCTTTTATATTATTTTTCTGGTTCTTCATCTTAAGTCACTTCTGGTGAGGTATCTTGCTAAAATCCTCCTTCAGGATAGAAGATTCTAACTTTCTATCATTGGTGTTTTCCTAATAGCTTCTTTTTTCATATACGTTCTCCTTTTCATTATGATATCTCATTGTTGGATGCTTAAGAGAGAAGCATCCCCTTGATGGGGTGGGCTCTTATTGTTGTCATTAGTCCTTTGGTTCCATATGGCTTCTCTGGACAGCTCAGCATGTAAAGATGCACTGTGTCAAAAAGGCACTTGTTTTATTAGGCTATTCATCACATGGCTTAATTTTGGTATGCTTCAAATCGACATGGAAAAAGGTGGGTATAGGATGGATGGTTAGGTACTCAATTCAAACTCTAACTATAATAAAAATTGTCTGTTAGTCTTGTGCTTCCTATGTTTCTTAACAAAGAGCAAAAGACACTGCAGTTTTTTTGAGAATGGAGCAAAAGACACTGCAGTTGGAACGTGACTTGGAAAATCAATTTGTATAACCATCTATAAGTAAGTGTATTGCAATTTGAGGTTGGGGTTTACATAGATTGCAAGTAAACTAGAGGATTTTGCCTAGTTTTATTAGGATGATGGAGCCATAGGGGCATTTAACTTTGCTTCAGGATAACCGGTGATAACTTTTTGAAGTTTAGTTCCATAAGAGTGGCTGTGTTCCCATTCTGGTAGTGTTCATTGATGGTGAGAAAATTAGGATATCATGGATCATGAGGATTGGTGAATAGTTTAACAGGAGAGACCAAGGAAGATGGAAACTAATAGTTCCAAATTTGAGGTAGAGCTGACCTCTCATCCAAATTTACCTTTCCAAGGACCTCTGTGAGGCCAAACATTGTCTATTGAAGTATAATAAACTTCCAATCTGTTTGTCCCACTTGGAGTAAGATGAAAGTGGTTTCTATTGGGGCCCAAAAACCGATATAGAGTGAGCTGTTTCAGTCCATAGGAATGAATCTTCTATGTAGTTGTAAATGTCCATATTATAAATCAATTGCTTTTCTAGCAGGTTTTGTGCATCTCTGTCCTCTCCTACGCCATTTCCCAAAATAGGACACTACTTTCAAGTCATAAGAGCTGCCCTTTGTGTTATGCATGGAAATCGTATGTCGTGTGAGGAATTTACGATTGAGTGAAGCGTTCCTTCCCTCTAGGAATGTTTCCTCATCAAACCAAGAGCATATTCTTAGTTTATGTTTTAGTAGTTACTAAAAGGTTGTGTTGCAAGTGTATAATCCTTCACTTACTCTTTCTATGTGGGAACTTGCGGTGCTTCAGGTTACTGTAATGCTCATGAAAGACAGAGTATTCCAGGGATCTCTTACCCTGTATTGAACGTTTACTTTTTAAGTTTTCAACAGTGGGTAGTTTGGTTTCTTGATAATTTCCTCAAATGTGACATTCTTCTTAATTCCCATTTTGTTTTAGAGAACGCAAAAGCATTTGAAAAACAAAAATATTGACAACCCAACTGTTAATTTTTGAAAAGACAGAACACTAGATGCTACTTGTGAATCTTTGAAAGTTAATGTTTCTTTAGATACACTTTTTTCATAATCCCAAGAGATGATATGCTTCTGCGACATTCAAACTACATTTTAGACTTCTCATCAATCATCATTGATGATATTTAAAGGATAGATCAAGATAATATAAAGTATAGACGACTTTTCCTTGTGAGCGTGATTTGAGACTTCTTCAAGGACTGGTTGCATGAGTTATTTATACTAGTGATGCTTACATTTATGAGTTCTTTCTATCAGATTTCTTTTGGTATGTGTTCTGGATCATAAGAAGTCTCGTTTGCTCATCAGTTATACTTGGAGTCTAATTTTAGATTCTCGCATCTCATTTAAAGTGCAGAATCCATTCTCTAGACTTGATGTGGATTTAGAGCTTTGAATATCAATATCCCATATCATAATTGTTGGAAGTTTAAGTGTTATATTTAATATCTTTACAGCTGCAATCAACTAAGGCCCGCAACTATGATTTCTGACATCTGCCCTTGTTTGTTTACAGAGATCCACTTATAAAGGCATTTTCTGTACAAATTTATGTTTTAGATGGGCCTAGGCTCACTCTTAGAAGCCAGATTCATGGCAGGATGGGAGCGCAGTGGCAGCAGTTTGAATAGGAATCGGGTAAGATTCAGAAAGGAATGCCACATTTAGGGGCAAGCGCACCACCCTAGAAGAAGAATCTGGCTTCCAAGGGATAACTTACAATGTTAATGGCATGCACACACACACACACATGCACACCAATACACCTATACATAAATACCTACCTACCTACCTACACATACATACCTATGTATGTACGTATGTGCATACATACTTATTCGATAGATGCACACATGCATGCGCACAACATGCACACAAACACACACTCCCTAACACTTTGAAAGAGAGGCAATATCCTTTCTACACTATGCATTTGAGGTGCATGCCCTGGAATTATGTTAAGAGTAAATCATGTTAGGAGTATTCAAGCAATAGATGTGATAGACATGTTTTGTGGTGATAAAATTGTCATTTCTAGGACAGCAAGAAGGTGTGGGCATAACATGTGAGGCAAACTTGCGTTTTTCTAAGTCTTTTATGTTGTGCAGGTCCTTAAAGAGGGTCGAATAATACAGGCAGGAAAGTACGAGGATCTTTTGCAGGCTGGAACTGATTTCAATGCTTTAGTTTCAGCACACCATGAAGCTATTGAAGCTATGGATATCCCGGAATCCATGGGTGAAGATTCTGTTGCGACCTTTGGGGATGAAGACTCTGTTTTATATGAAAAGGATTGTGAATTAAAACCTGGAACTGATAATTTGTCCAAGCAAAACAAAGAGGAGTCGTCGGCAGATGTGAGTGCAATCAAGGAGAAAAAGAAGAAAGCAAAACGAATGAGGAAGAAACAACTGGTTCAAGAAGAGGAGAGAGAAAGAGGGAGGATTAGCTTAAAGGTGTACTGGTCATATATGACAGCGGCTTATAAAGGTTTGCTTATACCCCTAATCATACTTGCACAAGCCACGTTTCAGCTGCTCCAAATAGCAAGCAATTGGTGGATGGCATGGGCGAACCCACAGACCAAGGGGGATCAGCCGAGAACGAGTAGTACTGTGCTCCTTGTTGTGTACATGGCCCTTGCTTTTGGGAGCTCGTGGTTTGTGTTTATGAGAGCTGTTCTTGTTGCTACCTTTGGTTTAGCAGCTGCGCAAAAGTTGTTCATAAAAATGTTAAGAAGTGTGTTTCGGGCACCAATGTCTTTCTTTGATTCTACTCCAGCTGGGCGAATCTTGAATCGTGTAAGTTCTTACGCACAAGGAGAACAGACACTGATTTTTGCCTATGGAAGAATGCACAATAGTCCAATATTCGTCGGGCTAGGGAAGCAGGTTCTATTGGGTTCATCACCGTCCAATGAAATGATGGATAGTGATAGAGAGTGGGACCCATAATTGGTGTTTTATTATTTTGTGTCCCACTCACTCTCCTCACTACTGATCATTTTATTAGATGTTTGTGGATCCATCGGACTCTTGTTTTTTGTAGTCCTTGGATTATTTTATACTCACTTTGTCTAGTGGCAGATTCTCTTGGATACAACAGGCCACCCTGCAATTTCTAGTGCTAAATTTTTATCATGATGGTTTATCAGGTATCCATAGATCAGAGTGTTGTGGATCTTGATATCCCTTTCAGACTTGGTGGGTTTGCCTCGACAACAATTCAGCTTCTTGGTATAGTTGGAGTGATGACCAAAGTCACATGGCAAGTTTTGCTTCTGTTTATCCCAATGGCTATAGCATGCTGGTCGATGCAGGTAATCAACCTTTTTTATGTAATGCATATCTTCTATTTTATTTTGACATATGCAGTTTGTTTTAGATAATATGCTTTGTAATTTTAATTCACACTACTCTGACACACAGTTTTTGCTTTATAGGTGAGAGTTTCTTTACTGAGTTTGGTTATGTTTATTATCTGGTTTAGGTGGTATAGCTGTTGGCAATTTTTTTTTTCTGTTAGTTATGTACTTGGTGGCAACTTTTGTGTCCACTTTGCTTTCTTAAACCTTCCTTGGGTTGGTTTGTGAAGCCCTGATTATGCATTGGATGATTGAGATTATGCAAACTGGATAGATGCCAAGTTGCTATTCATTTGAGTTTGCAAAGTTCGTTGACAAATCTTATACCAATACTTGTATTCCTATTTCTCTTTGTTTTCCTGGTTTGCAATTGAATTGATCTAATTCATAAATCAGTAAAATCCAAAACACAAATAGTTTAGGGTTTGTGAGTTAGCATGATGGAGCCCATTGTTTAGTTTGCTGCACCCAATCCAATTCGTGAGCTCCAAACCTATTTGTTAATGGCCTAAATCTCCAGTGTTGACACTTTAGTTAATCTTTGATGGCAATTAGTGGGACGACTTCTCAAGAGAGTTTTAGTCTTGCAGCCCATCAACAGTGATGGAAATCCATTGGGACATCACAATTCCACTATGGTGCTCTAGCGCCTGAATGAGCTACAGGTTTCAAAATCCATATTTTTCGGTCTGTTAATTGTGATAGGAAAGACATTCTGGTTTCTTCTTGATTGTGGATCTCGGTTTAATAGTGAGTCTACCTTTAACTATCTTTCAGTGGCACTGTTTTTGGTTGGGTTTGCTATCTCTCTTCATGTAGTAATTGTCCATTGTAGGGAATGATGAAGTATGCCTGCCTATTGCAAAATGTATTTCTCTTTGGTTTGAGTGGCTCTTTCATGCTTTGGACTGCATGAACCCTATGAAAACCTGTCCTCTTGTATTTTTCAGTAGAATTCTTTTCATCACTTCTTTGACATTTTTATCCCTTGGTAGTGTAAGGTCTTAAATTTGTCATACCAAAATAAAGATAATGTTGTGCTTTCTGTTGTTTTTAGCAATTAAGGAAAAATAAATTTTGGTTAAAGGGACTGCAATGAAGCAGTCCATTAGGATCCCGACCTTCCTGTGAAATAATGAGCTGTGACAGAGAGAGTGCGACCCAGCAGAGAAAGCATGTGGTCATACTGCTCCTGTGCTCCATCAACATCTGTCTTCACATAAAACAGTCATGGCCTCAATTGATGATGGTTTTTCAGTCTTTAGGACTATGGTGTGCTTTCCCTCAATGTTTTTGTTTTCTTTTATCTTCATCTGTACCATGAAAGATGCAATGAAGGTCTGATGTTGTGTTGTGCTCACAGAAATACTATATGGCATCATCAAGAGAGCTTGTTCGCATTGTTAGCATCCAAAAATCTCCTATTATCCATCTATTTGGGGAGTCAATTGCTGGGGCAGCTACCATTAGGGGCTTTGGACAAGAGAAACGCTTCATGAAAAGGAACTTGTATCTTCTTGATTGCTTTGCTCGCCCTTTCTTCTGCAGCCTTGCCGCCATAGAGTGGTTATGCTTGCGCATGGAACTCATATCAACGTGTGTATTTGCTTTCTGCATGGCTCTTCTTGTGAGCTTTCCTCATGGGAGTATTGATCCCAGTATGTTTCTCTCTCTATCTTCACTTAGATACTAGAACCAGTTGTTCAAATTTCAAATGAATAATATATCTTTTGATTTGGAATACATGACACTAAAAAGGTTACTTTTTTATTTTCTCAAGAAAAAAAAGGCTACTTTTTTATCATTTTGGTGCAATTGATTGGTTATTTTTTACAGGTATGGCAGGCCTTGCTGTGACTTATGGGCTTAATTTGAATGCTCGTTTATCACGATGGATTTTAAGCTTCTGCAAACTTGAAAATAAAATTATTTCTATTGAGCGCATTCATCAGTACTGCCAAATCCCAGGTGAAGCTCCACCTGTTATTGAAAATTCGCGACCTCCATCTTCATGGCCACATGATGGAACAATTGAATTGATTGATCTGAAGGTATGCAGCTATTCTCCTTTATGTTATGGGTCATCTGATATAATGCTTCAAGATAAATACTATGCTTCAGCTTGGTCTCTCTCTCTCTCACACACACACATGCGTGCACGCGTGCGAACATGCACACACATACATTTGTATATTAAGCTATTGTCAAGATAGTTGAAGCTGCTGATGGTCTCCTGTTTCTTTTCTTCTTCCATTTACCTATCACCTACACCTCATGGTTTCTGAAATTCCTTCCTCTTCTTTTCTAAAGGTGCGTTACAAGGATACTCTGCCTATGGTTCTTCATGGTATAACGTGTACATTTCCTGGTGGGAAAAAGATCGGTATAGTTGGGCGCACTGGAAGTGGCAAGTCCACATTGATGCAAGCTCTCTTCCGTCTTATTGAACCTGCAGATGGAAAAATAATTATTGATGGCATTGATATTTCCACAATTGGCCTTCATGACCTGCGCACTCGTCTTAGTATCATTCCCCAAGACCCCACCTTGTTTGAAGGAACCATTAGAGCCAACCTCGATCCCCTTGAAGAGCACTCTGATCTTCAAGTATGGGAGGTTAGTGCTTATCTCTTACCCATTAATCCTTCTCTAAACCTGATTTCAAAACTGAAGTTTACCAGTGAGGCTCTCTGAGTCTGCTCAATTTCCCTTGTTGAGAGTATGAAGTATCAGAAAATGCGAAAGGAAAAAATCAAGCCGAAATGCTTTAGCATGTGGGCTTTTTTGTTTCCTTTCCTTTTTCTTTAATGATATTTATGAAGTTTTATTGAAGTGGAAAAAAAGATGATGTTAGCTCATCATTTTGATCTGATATTATTTGATACTTCCTAGGCACTTGACAAGTGTCAGCTTGGAGAAGTTATCCGCAGAAAAGAGCAGAAGCTTGACACTCCAGGTACGTGTGTTTCTCTTGAATACAACTGTTTGTGTGCTTGAAGATTCCTTTAGTTGAGATGTTATGTAGCAATATATATATTATCAATTAACATTTTTTTTCGTGAAACTTGCATGTTTTTTAATGAAATATATCTATATGCAAATGGAAGTATAAAATAGAAGGGTATAATAACAGTATAAGAAAAATATAATTGTAAAAAACTCTTTTTCATTTTTTAAATATTTGAGTCTTGGCTCAGATGGAAGGTGTTTGTTGCAACCAATATTTTTAAAAACTGGATCGATGACCCGGATCGCCCATCCCAAAAACCAATCTAGATTTGTGGAGTAACGATCGTTGGATCGGTCAGATCAGCTTGATTTGGCTTTAAAAAAATCAGAAAAGTATTAGAAATTGTTATAACTGTTATTTTTTGAGTTCTGAAAGAAATGGAGGTAATGCATTATGGACTTTCAATATTGTGCGAAAATGCGTGAATATTGAGACACCTTTTTTTGTCTCTCTATTGATACTAATTTCGATGCAGCGCTACAAAAGTTTGATACTCATTTTGTGATTTTTTGTGAAGAAACGATCAAAAAAATGATTTTTATGATTTTTTATACTAATTGTCACTGTTGTGTGTGATTTTTCTCTCACACACACATTGGGTCTCTCTTTCTCTCATACACACAAAAAGCACATTGGACATCTCTCTCTCTCTCTCTCTCTCTCTCTCTCTCTCTCTCTCTCTCTTTCTGACACATACATATACACGTACAAACGTTTTGGAGTTGTTTGTCTCTCTCGCACACACATACAAAAGACATTGGGCATCTCTCCCTCTCTCTCTCGTGCACACACATACAAAAGTACATTGGACATCTCTCCCTCTCTCTCATGCACAAACGTATTGGACCATATAATGTATTTTTATGAGAGATGGGACCATATAATGTCTTTTGTGAAAATTGTAATGCATTTGTGTGATGCGGCAGTGTGTATAATTTGGTCCAATATATGTAATATGGGACATATTGAACATTATTTTTGTATATATTGAATATTTCCTCTTTCACAACATTTGCACCGGTGTGCTTATTCACTTGATTCTCTGGCCCCAACACTCTCTTTTTCTCTCACCTAATTGGTTTGGTCACAACGGCTTTCAAAACATGGGTTTCATAAAAGGATTGGAGAGAGAGAGAGAGAGCACGCTGGAAAGGTGTTGACACTTAGTCCTACATCGGAGATCTAGGACGGACAAGTGGAACCGAGTGACTTTACATAGGGAGGCACACCTTAGAAAAAGGTAAAGCATGCCAAAGACACCCCGTGCAGATGTGGCGGTGTCTAGACTCTGGCACCCCATGCAGATGTGGAAGTGGGCTAGACTCTGTTACCCTGCTTAGATGTGGTAGTGGGGCTAGAGAATTAGGTGAATAGAAGCATAAAAACAACTGAAAAAAAGAAAAATCGTAATATAAAAACTTTTGTGGGAACCGAGTGATCGGGTCCGGTTCCCTAACAAAATTGGTTAGTTCTATCAGAGAACTAGCCGATTCTATCTGGAACCATTCAGTTCCCAATATTTTAAGAGAACTGGGATGGTCTTGATAATTCCCAAGTCAGATCGGGCGATTCCGACCCAACCCGGTGATTTTTAAAACCTTGGTTGCAACCTCATGGGTATAGGTGTAAACTTTAAACCCACGTAACCTATCAAAGTCAGCATAGAAACGGAGTAGAAAATAAATAGATTTTCAAAAAAAATTTCTTTCTCCAATGTTTGTTACTTTTTAGCTTTCTAATTTCTCACCTAGAATTCCTCAACAATAAAATAAGATTTTCTTAAAATTTCTTAAAATCACTCTTTTCCTTTTCAATGCCAGGTAATTGGATTTTTTACTTTGGTGGTTATATGTTCATATACAGTTTTGGAAAATGGAGATAACTGGAGTGTTGGGCAGCGGCAGCTTGTATCACTCGGCCGAGCCCTTTTGAAGCAGGCGTGTATATTGGTACTCGATGAAGCAACAGCTTCTGTTGACACGGCCACCGATAACTTAATTCAGAGGATCATTCGAACAGAGTTTACGGACTGCACGGTTCTCACTATTGCACATCGTATACCAACTGTGATCGACAGCGACCTGGTTCTAGTTCTTAGTGATGGTATGGGTTTAGTATTTAAATTTATATTCATAAAATGGGAAAGTATATCATAATTCACTGGTCTGTGGAAAAAGTGTAGCCCATGGTTCAGGAACATCCCTTAAAAAATGGATGGTGATGGACAGTGGAACCCATTATTGCGATCATGTCTTTCTGTGGAGTACCTCTTTCAATCTCCATCTATCATTTTATCGATTGTGATGACCCCAGTGGACAATGTTTTTTCAATAGTCCATCAGATTGTAGCATATGCTTTCATTTAGATTGATATTTTCCTTTAGATTATGATATTCTAATAGCCTATGGAAAAGTTGTTATCTGATAGAATGGAAAAACCATCACCTCAATGGATGATACTGTTGCTATCTTATCTAGCTGGCAAAATCTTCTGGTTCTTGTTATTTCTGATGGTACATATGGAAAAATACCGGTTCGTGTCATGGGCATATAAGGATGAATGTCCAGTAATAACCCAAATAATCTGGTATTTTTCTGATTAATATAATTTAGCGATCTTATTGAATGACTACACTTTGATGTGTTCTTATTTTTCTTTAAGAACAAACTTACTCTTAATTAGGGAGTAATCAATTGTTATCGAGTGACTGACAAGTGTTTGAAACTTATGAGAGTTTGTTTTAGAAAAGCACGAGCTTTTTTATGGTGTTTTGTGAATTATGGACAATAAGAGCAATTAGGTGTTTTCTTTAGATAAAACTTCTGGAGTGCCTCAAATTTCTTCTTTTTTTGTTTGTTTGTTTGTTCGTTCTTGTGTATTTGAGTTTTTCTTTTCATTCTGGATATCATTTGAAATCAGATGTTCTGAGAAAATTTCAGTTGTTTCATGGAAAACCACTTAATTGTTTTCTGTCTTTTCTTTTGTTTCTCTGATATTTGGTCATCATTTGAAGTTCTAAGAATATTTCATTGTCATAGCAAACCACGCGTTTCTCATTTCTCTTTGATTCATTTCTAAAATGCTTGCATCCCATTCCTGTATGATATCTTCCTCAGGTAAGGTAGTAGAGATTGATACTCCCTTGCGGTTGCTGGAGGACAAGTCATCCATGTTCTTGAAGCTTGTGACTGAGTACACTTTGAGATCAAATAGTGTCTCAGAAGCCTGAAATGTTAAAGTTCCTAGTTCCAAAGAGGAAAGTCATGCATATTAACAGTGAGTAAACCCAGCTGACTGGCTAAAAAATCAGTATTCTGCATATCATGCCAACAAACTAGGATTTCGAAGTTAGGGGATGATCAAAGGGAAGTATGTTGTTATCATTCTTTGTTGCTACCCTGATCCCCTTGAAAAGAATCTGCAATGATGGGATTGGGAAGTGCAGGAGAGACAGCGAGCTTCCATCTATCACGTTTCACTAGAGAAAGAGAATGGCATCAGAGTTGGGCCAATCTGTGCAAGTTGAGTTGAGAGTTGGCTGTTGGGCCAATCGGAAATAATGAAAGTTCAGTTCATTGCCACTTGCTTGTTCTATTTTCCTTATTTTTTATTTTATTTTCATCGCATGTGTATAGGCGGTGGCACTGTTCAAAGAGAAATTTTGGTAATAATATGGTTCCATTCACCTCCAAAGGCTTTTGTCTGATGTACACTCTATAGTGTTGTGTTAGTAGACAGGAGTATGAATTTCTATTTCTTGGCATATGAGGTATGCCTGGGATTGAAATCTACAAGATATCCCTTAAGAAAACCAAGCTGTACCTGTTTCTGAGGTTCGACATTCAAAATTCCGTTATCAAATTGGATATATGGAGTCAGATGATGGACTATGCCCATCATAAATGATTACGACCATGGTGAGCGGCAAGCAACTGACGACATGGTCAAGTATTGCTTGGTGGTCAAATATGAGCGATATTTTTAAATATACAAAGAGACCATTTACTTTTGGAATAAGACCACAATTACTTTTGATCGCCAGATTGCAGAATAAGACCACAATTACTCTTGATCGCCAGATTGCAAATAGGTGGTTGTGCCACTGAATGGGTTCACAGTTCAACTAAATTTTTCTTGAACCTCGTAACGCACCCCAAGCTATCCTATTTGAAATGGAATGGTTAGGGGTATTTGTAACCTCCTTCTAGCAAAAGGTAAATGGGCTCATTGTATACAATTATTTTCAAATAAACCTGGTAATACGCACAATTCCATTCAAATAAACCAGGTAATACACAGAAATGAAAAGAAAATAGTATTGTTTCTTTCGAATTTTAAGAAGAAAGCAATAGTGTTTCAGCTATTAATCATTTTTTAAAAAAGCAGGTGACATTTATTAGAAACTCGGTAAGCGGTTGTCAATGATGAGACCAATATCCGGCCAGTTATAGCTATAAACTCTAATAATTGAAATTTATGTGACATTTGTGTTAATGTCAAAAACTTCAATAGCACACGCATTGCAATAGAAAGGGGTTAGGGTCGTAGTGGTAACAATCCCACGCTGTAATCATTACGTTGTGGTTTTCATTCTCGCGGACACTACCCCATTAATATTTTAAAACTAACTATTAAACTATTTGAAAAAAAGGGGTTGGGGCTTGTCTTCCCACCTAATTACCTATAAAGAGCAAAAAAAAAAAGAAAAGAAAACGAAAACAAAAACACGGTGAAGGTCTCTTCGATCCACTATGTTTTCGAGAAATTCGTTGACCATGATTAGTACTTCTAGCATTCAATACTGCCATTAGCAGTGAACTTCATTCTATGCACTGATCAAGTGTACGTGGTTATTGTGGTCGTTGACAGGCAATAAGTTTCAAAATTTTCATCAATAATTCATAATGCTTGCACCAGCTAGATGTCCTGCCATATATTTTCATATATGGTTTTTAGCAAAAACATAAAACAAAAATACTTAATAACGAAAATCAAGAGATATTCAAATTTTAAATTTTTCTTAATTTATCTTTTAGAAATGTGGGTGTATCTTGTTTTTAGTAGTCACCAATTTGGGATGAAGATGCGGAGGGATTGATGAGGGGTCAAGAGCGAATTTATTAATTGTTATAAAAAATACTGAGAAATAGGTATGAACAAGGTTTTGAAAATTTTGAAAATTATTTTTAATAATCTAAAAGAAAGATATTTTTGATAATTTCTGAATAATAATGATATTATTATTATTCTTCTTATTATGGCATCCTTATTATAATTACTAACAAAATGGTTTTTCGCTTATTTATGTTCTATCCATATTAGATTAGAACTACAAACATAATAAGTTTATCACTTATTGTGTTCTATCCATATTAGGGGTGCGGTTTTATAAGGTTGCAACCTTCAACAATCCAATTAAGACGTACCTCCAAAATTTATCATAAGATGTAGTTTTAATGTAAAAGTTTCTTAGAATTATCTCAAAATCTATTTTTATATCTAATTATAAAATTTTAAACTTCAAAAATATTTAAAATCAAGTAGATCTATAAAAAAATATTAAAAATGGACAATCTAGATAATGTGTTGTAAGATGCACTATTTTTGAGGCTTAATTTTTTTTTTTTCATATTTATATATCTCGATGTCGAGATAATCAATTAAAGAGTTTTCAACATTAAAACAACTTATCATATGGATTTTGATCTTTGAGATGCATATTTAATTTTACATTTTTAAGGTTGCAAACTTATATAAACTTTTCTCATATAATAATCGGTGAATATATTACATTGTTATTATAATGGATACGGGGTAATTTATCTATGAAAAAATTTACAATGAAACCATTTATCTTCGATATAATTGAAAGCGGGCGATTAAAAGTACTGAAGCGTGCCCGTTTAAGTTTTTGAATTGGGAAGCAATAGAATACTATTTCTCGATAGAGAAGTTTGGATTGGGAAAGAAGAAACTTTATCGAAAAGGTTGGGTTTGGGTTGAAGGTTGGAGCGAGAGTTCCAGGAACGTTTTGGATTTAGGGTTTTGTTGTTTTCCAGAGTTTTGTTGTTGTTGTTGGGCAGAGTTGCAGAAATCTCTGAAGAGAAGAAGAGGATCCTTATCCTTTTGAGAAGTAGTAATGGAGAGTGTAGATGTAGAAGAGGCTACTTTCCTTTTGAGAAGTAGTGATGGAGAGGTTTTTGAAGTTGTAGGAGAGGCTGTCGTGCAATATTAAGAAAATGATCGAGGATCGCTGTTGTCTAGTGAGAGGAAGACAAGATGAATGATGAGAGAGATGGAGAGGAAGACAAGAAGAATGATGAGCGAGATCTCACGAAGTGGGATGAGGAATTTTTTAAGGTTGATATGCAATCCCTCTTCGATATCACAGTGGTACAGATACTCTCTCTCGTCTCTTCACTTCACTTTCCTCTCTCCTTTTCCTATTCTCTTCTATCTTTATGTGGATTGTTTTTTTTTTACTTCTAATGCTTCTTTTAACTTTGCTGATTTTGATTATGTTCTGTTTCCTATCTTTGTTAAGTTTGATGATTCATCGTCAATTTTGATTATGTAAATGAATTGGTTCTGTTTTACATCTATTTAACTATGCTGATTCATCATCAATTTTGATTGTGTCAATGAAGTGGTTCTGTTTAATATCTGTGTTTATTTAACTGCGTGGTGGGTTATTGTTGGATCTTTAGGACTTTTGTTGCTGGACTGTTTCCTTGTTTTTTTTTGGTTAATTTCCTTTTTGATGAGATCCTTGCTTTTTGCTTATTTCTTTTTTATGCAGTTATCTACTGATTGTTGGTTTCTGCGGCCATTTAAGGCTTTATGACAGCTTGAAATATTTGATATAGTGGAACTAATATATGTGTTTATTTAACTGCGTGGTGGGTTATTGTTGGATCTTTAGGACTTTTGTTGCTACACTGTTTCCTTGTTTTTTTTTTTGGTTAATTTCCTTTTTGATGGGATCCTTGCTTTTTGGTTACTTTCTATTTATGTGGTTATCTACTGATTGTTGGTTTTTGCGGCCATTTAAGGCTTTAGGACAGCTTGTATTGAAATATTTGATACAGTGGAACATAACCTCGGCGGGAGCATGGTCCTGCTGGACCGAGATAGGCAAATGCCAGTGGAGTGGGAAAATTCTTATATCCTAGGCATACAACACGAACCGATGAGGGTTGGCAGGGTCATCCCTTGATGAGGTCGGAAACCTTTCTTGCTTGAGCATAAGCACAAACCGATGAGGGTTAGATTGATGAGGTTAGAGTTGCCCAAGGGGATGAGCCATGTGTGACCCTTATGTGTGATGGTAGGCCTCTTGAGATGAGGGCCAAAACTTCATCACCGACCTGTACCAATTGTTGGGTTTCTGTGGCCATTAAGGGCCTTATAAGAGCGAGGTTTCTTGCTGCCCATAGGATTTTTATTTTTTTCTTTTGAGAAATATATTGACCTTTTGGGAAAAGAAATATGGCTGCTCGAACCTATATCTCTGAGATCCTAAAGCCAAAAGGTTTGCCGAAAGGTTTGATGGATTGAACTACTCCTCATGGAAGTGAAAATACGGTTTGTGCTTTATGACAAGGGTTTGGATGGAGTACTATCCGAGGATCGCTCTCATCATCCAAGAAGCAATTCAAAACAAGAAATGATAGATGCATATGCTTCTTAGAAATGTAGAGATATTCATGTTAAGAATATCCTACTATGCTCAATGATTGACTCATATGCATCTAAGTATGAATCAATGAAAACTGCGAGAAGCATGCACGAGAGGCTTGAGAAAGAATACGCATATCCAACTCTTATGAGGCAAGCAATGGCCATGAAGAAGTACAATGAACTAAAGATAGACGAAGGTGCGAAGATATCTGATCATGTGCATCTCATTCGTGCACTTATTCGAGAGATGGAGGCTACCGGCATGCGACGTTTAGATTCTATGCTAGTGGTTCTTAAGATGAACTCTCTTCCTAATTCATGGGAGACTTTCAGCACATCACTCTCAGCTCGACAAAACGGCTCCAAAACTAGAGGAGCTCATAATACTGCGCAAAGGCAAGGAAGAAAGGAGGAATGTGCGCAAAGCACTGACTCCAAGAGCTGCGGTACATATGGTAAAACTCAACCCTTCTTTAAGCCTTATAAGGGGAAGGGCAAGAATAAGAATAAGAAGAGAGGAAAAGCAAAGAATAAGAAGAGAGACGATAACAAAAAGAAAGAGACTAGGACTTGCTTTGTATGCAAGAAAGTTGGCCACATAGAAAAGAATTGATTCAACAAAAATCCTGGGGCCAATGAGGAAATTGCATGTGTGGTCTTTGAAACATTGCTAGCTGACCCCAAGGGAGCATCTTGGTGTCTTGACTCTGGAGCTACGGATCACGTGGCAAACACCAAGGATGGCTTCCGCAGGTTTACTCTCGTGGGGCCGTGTGAGCAACACATATTTATGGAAGGAAATCAAAAGACCGAGGTCTTAGGGTTGGTGATTATGTGCTTGAAATGAAGAATGAAAAGATCTTGTTCCTAAAGCAAGCACTCTATGCTCCTAACATGAGGAAGTGCTTGGTTTCAGTTCTTAAAATCACTAAGGCCGGTTTTATCATCATCTTCTCCCGTGATAAAGTTGGTGTGAAAAACCGCAATGATATTATCATATCTGGTCAATGTGT